AGTGAAGATGTAGCCATAACTGTGAGTGAAGTGCTGAGTGGTTTGAGAAGTGAAATCCAATCCTTATAACATGGGGCCAAGAGGTGGGGGGTAAATACTGATTATCAACATAAGGAAAGAAGTTCAGAATTGCCTTTCCAATAAATGACCTTGTCATTGATCTCACCCAAGGGAATGGGTGGGGAAGGATTGTTCTCCCCACCACAATATCACGCACAGAGGAGACCCTCTGCATGCTAATTTCCCCCTACCAGGTGAAAGGGAACCTTGGCTAAGCCTCTCACTGATACTTTTAACAACACAATTCAGAAAGCACCTCTCCTATATTGACTACATCCAGATACCTCCTGGGTCGTTCCTTGCATTCCTGCTTACCTCTCATTTCTTACTACATTTTGAAAACACTATATGGTGCTATAATGGAGGTACATTGTGAGACTTTTGTTTGCAAAACACAATACAGTATCACGCTATACTGCATTGTATTGCACTGCACATTTCATAAATTGGTTAGTAAAGAACCCGTAAGTGATTTTAGACTAGTGAATGTTTTAAAAAAACTCTTATGCAATCACTATAGTGTTATTATCTCCATCTGATTAAGTCCTTTAGAATCTAAATGGAGAATAACAAAATCCATTCTGAGGAGACTGTGTGCAAGGCTCATCTTTCAGAGACCTACTAAGAACAGTGCAAAATCCAATATTCTTAAACAAAGAGCTCTTCTCTTTTGGGATCTGGAGGTTTGTATAAGTCTGTCATGGGTGTGGGAAAGGAGAGGGGGGAGCAAGTGGAAGTAAGGTCTGAGTCTATTGTGTGAAATAGCTTACCTATCAAATGCATCACAGTTTGCACAACAACCCTCCCCTCATTCAAATTGCTCCTAAAATCCCACTTTTTCCATGATGTCCACAAGAAATGAGCTTAGAATAATTAACGATAACAACAAAAATACCACAGCTGGCACGGGTGCAGTGATAGCTGTGTGTACTGCAGTGCTGTATATTGTCAAAAGAACAACTGCTCTAACATTAAGAAATCTAAACTTAATCTAAGTCTTCAGCTAACCTAAACAATGATAATTTTCCACATTTATTGGAAACTCACATGAATAGATGTGGCATATAATCAGAGATATAAAAAGAAATTGGAAACTTACTCCATTTACTATGGGAATGTATTTAGTGGTTGGATTCAATCATCTACAAGACAAATATTTTTATGCAGTAGGAAATTTTTCCATGTCAAATTGCCTAACGGTTATAAAGGGAAATCGCCACATAATAATAGTGGGAAACCAAATCAAACCAGATTATACACAAATGGAAACTCTCCTCTGTACATATGATACCTGGAATATAGCCATGAGCAATTAGGCAGCAATAGAGAAGAGAATTAACCTTAAAATGAATGAGAAATAGGAATTATTTGGTCTTTTGATGTATGTGTTTGAGATTAGGGACCTGATTTTCAAAGGGACAGAAGCCCTGAGCGATGCACAATTGCACACCTGACCTGCATGCATAGCAGCTATTATCTTTATTTGTTATTCATATTGTGATCGCATCTAGAAACACCACTCAGGATCAGTTCCACATCATGCTTGGTGCCATACAAACTTAGGGTAGCACCAAAGACCTTGCAATCAAATTTGAAACTACTTCAGTGAGTAAATATAATGAATAAAGAGAGAAGAACAGAGGGAGGATGAGGGAAATGATACATTCTTGGGGTTATTTACCCTAGCTACAGGCATCTGGGGAAAATATTCTTGTGGGGGGCGGTGTTGAGCCAGCTCTGCCTGCATCCTGTAGCAGTGCTTCCTGTCCTGTGCAGCTGGGCCTGGCTCCCTGCTCCAGCCCATTGGCTCTTGCCATTCTTGGGTTTAGAGGAACCTGTCACAGCATCACCAATATGCATGTTTGCATGCAGGCGGGGCCCTCCCCTGGCTATGTCCTGTCCCCTTCCTGGCCCTGGTGCTGCTGGACCTGGAGTTTCACCTACTGAGCTGGGCATGCGCCTGCGTGGGGTGGTTTAGGAAATGACATGTTGACAAATATCTTCCCACCATGCCATTAAGGGTTTGATTCTGGAACAAGCTGAGCACCCCCAGCCCACTGATGGGAGTGGAGGACACTTAGTCCGTATCTTGCAGGAGTCTTCACCTTGCAGGATCAAACCACAATAGAAGAGGGTAGGGCAATGAAATAAGAGACAAAGTGAATAAATAGGGAGGGGCAATGTTGTAGGAGGCTTTACATGTGAGGGCAAAAACTTAAATGTGAACTGGTGGGAATCAATGAAGGGATCCATTAGTTAGCACAATGCTCATGCAAACATGGTATCTGTATGTGTGCATTGCCAGTTAGATGTCTAACTTCTATGCGTAAAAATACCACATTTAAATACCACATTTGTCCGTGCATTTATGGCCCCTGCATCTACAAATAAAATGCATCATTACATGCAGCCCTAGGCTGTATGTACTTTACATGAATTATTATATTTATTAACTTCCAAGTTCAGGAACAATGTATGTTTTTAATTAATTCGCTTCACCTTTAATAAAAAGCCAGGCTCCAGTCAAGTCAGAAGTCTGTTGTGCAAGTATCTGACTGACAGAGTTAGCATGCCCTGTAGAACATCTGTCTGTAGCAACTTTAACATCATTTTGTATTAGCAGTGTGTGAACTTTACCAAAGAACAGAGGGACTAAGGCAAATATTACCGCGAACATGGAAAGTACATGTACATCTGTCACATTACAAGCTAAACCCAGCACTAACCTGTATTATTTTACTGGCTGTCTGCACATGAAAGTAATAGTTTGTTTAAAAGGTTAAGTTTTTGTTAAAGAGGTAAAGGTTCAAATACTTTTCATGCATCATTTGGCTTCATTTTATGCTTTTTGAGGTGCGGTGGTGTGAGACCCTGATACTGTCTGATTGTAGCTTTTATTGTGACAAAATAGAAGTCATGAGATAGTGAAGTAAAAATCTGATTCCATGACATTCATGGCACTTACTACAGAGTGGAGTGATCAAATACACACTGGTTTAACATTTTCTGACTCTCCTGTGTGCACGGACTTTAAAGAAGAGTTACCTAGGATCAGGCCCTCTTGGGGTAATATGATTCACATACTTCTTTTGACCTTTGCTTTAAGAGTGGGATAGAAACATGCCACAATACACGGCTACCAATGTTACAGACTTTTTTAGTAAGAGAAACCTACGAAAGATGTGATGACCAAGAAAATGCCACAGAAAAATATCTAAATGCAGCAGTGACTTTCAAATGAGTATACACCAGAAAAACAGAAATCTATTGGCAGATACAGTCATCAAAAGCTAACACAGAAAAGGCAGACTGTGAAATACATAATTGAAGATCTGAGAAGACACTGGTGATGAAGATATAAAGAGGGAAGGAAGAAAATTTAAACCAATATATTGTTCAGAACAAGGAACCTGAATCCAGTATTCAGCTTTTCTTCACATGGATTGGGGAAGGATTTTATCCAGAGGTTGTCCCTCTCATCATAGAAAACAAGGTTGGAATCTAAAGCAATTTATTGGCTAAACTAGACAATAAGGAAATCAGACTCAGATTCATTCTAGCCTCACCAGAAAACTGAAACATGCTGTACATTCTGTCTATTACGAGTGGGAAGCTATTTATTACCTGACAATCAAAATGAAAAATAATGTAAAATTTAAGAAAAAATGTTCTCATGATAAGCAAAATGTGGATATGCTGGTATGAACAACATTGCAGAATGCACAATTTAGTCATTAAATATTTCTAAAGAGTGCTATATGTGTACATAGCACTTTAGATAGCAAATTATTATAAACGTCCTTCTCCGAAGCTGACTGTGACCAAACAGAGCTTTAGAGACAGCAAAAGGCAAGGGAGAGAATAATATTATGGTATAGTACAGTTCATTCCAATGCACTGTTTTTTAATATATCATTTTTTATCACTGAATACTGTTTGAATTGTTACATGATAATAACAATCTAGTATGTTAAAGCCACATGTTACTCCAGCCACACCTGGAGTATTGTGTTCAGTTTTGGTCCCCCGACTACAGAAGGGATGTGGACAAATTGGAGTCCAGCGGAGGGCAACAAAAATGATTAGGGGGCTGGGGCACATGACTTATGAGGAGAGGCTAAGGGAACTGGGGTCATTTAGTCTGCAGAAGAGAAGAGTGAGGGGGGATTTGATAGCAGCCTTCAACTACCTGAAGGGGGGTTCCAAAGAGGATGGAGCTCAGCTGTTCTCAGTGGTGGCAGATGACAGAACAAGGAGCAATGGTCTCAAATTGCAGTGGGGGAGGTCTAGGTTGGAAATTAGGAAACACTATTTCACTAGGAGGGTGCTGAAGCACTGGAATGGGTTACCTAGGGAGGTGGTGGAATCTCCATCCTTAGAGGTTTTTAAGGCCCGGCTTGACAACGCCCTGGCTGGGATGATTTAGTTGGTGTTGGCCCTGCTTTGAGCAGGGGATTGGACTAGATGACCTCCTGAGGTCTCTTCCAACCCTAATATTCTATGATTGTATGTTAAAACCAACAACATCTTCCCTCACAATTTGATGCATAGAAATACAAATTCTCAAACGTATGTTTCACTATTAACTGCAGGTGTAAATCACTCTCTATTCAACTGCAAATGAGGGTGCAAATGTTGTGGGTGCAAACTGCACCCACTCAAGAGAAAGGTCACCCTTTTTAAGTCTGTCCCACAACAGAGTGCCTAAACTGTCACAAATGATTGGAACTAGGGGGTAACAAGGTATAATGCACCATGAAAATCTTCTGATAGCAATACATGTTTACAAGATGGTTTAGTTCCATCAAGCTGCTATCAGGTTAACTTGAGAAATATTGATAGGTTTCTTGCTATAAGTCAATTCCCACTTACTAGTTTGACTGTTTCACCAGCCGATGATAAAAGTATGCAGCCAAAAATATGACAATTGTTTTTCCTACCTCTTCCTTCTCAGCACTTTGCAAATCCCGCCACTCCTCAGTCACATGACCAAAGTCCACTGTGTTCATGGCCACCTTATATTCCCCAATGATATCATGTTTGGAGAAACGATCGAAGTCGTATACTGCCATCACTAAGGTTTTTCCACCCAGTTCAGAGTACGGCACCTATAAAGAAGAAAAAATGACAAGCTCTCTAGCTCAGACAATAAAGATGGGTTCACTGCAATGCAAATCAATTTCTTTGGTTTACCAGCTGTCATCTTGGGTAAATTGAACTGGGGGAAAATTATGAGGTATATATTTTTGTAGTCATCTGATGCACTGTTTCCCGAGACCAGAATATGGCACTCAATAGAACAATGTGGCAGCTCACTTATCACTCTCCAGTTTTTGCCCTCTGTCCTCAATTATTATTTTGTGTGTGGTGAAACTGAAACTGGAGGCCAGTTATTTGCCCCAAAGATACATGAGCTTTTAACACTGCAGTATGGTTTCTGCCAATAAATCATACTGTCAACACTCAGAAAAGGGTAGCCCAGAGACTGATGAGAAACTACAGAACTGACTTACTGCATCTGACACAAGGTAATTAGAGACTAGATCGTCTTCTTACAGGGTAACTATTTATTACTTATCCAGGTATATTTTTTCAACATTATACCTTTCACACCATAGATGCTAAAGTTCATTTTAAGACACAGTGTACGGTTAGAAATTGTGGCGGCAGCAGGCCAAGTCCTGACTAATTCTCCAGCTGTTCTGATGGGTATGGGACAGATGCTCTGGGTTAGGATCTTTATTAGACACATTTTTAATATTCGGGATAAGTGATGCAGTTCAGGTAAGCTACACTTGAGTAGCTGGGTAGAAAAGCCTAATTAAAATTGTTTGAACTTGCATTGAAGGCTTGGTCAATTTTAATAAATTCTCTATATTTTGCAAGTTTAAATGATTACCATATGCTTCAGTAAACATTTCTCTAGTAATTGTCTACATAAAAAGGGAAGCCATAGCGTGGCACAATATTTGGTCACATGAACACCCAAAAGTTCTAGTCTGTTGAGCTCTGGGTCTTCAAATATTGTGTGACTATTTGGCTTTCACTTGCTTTTTAAAATATTGACTGACCCAATGGTATTTAACCTTTAGTCAAAAAGTGTTATAGAACAATTACACAGAATATTTCAAGTTAAGGACCTGATCCTGCTTCTGCTAAAGTCTATGATAACTTCAATGGGAACAGGCCTGCACATTAACATGGTACAAACACAATAGCAAAATGTATTTTGAATATTGTAAATTAGTTCTGTAATGAGTGCTTTTTAAATGGCGTAGTAGGTTTAAACATACAGTAAGAAAAGTTTTAAGTACATTTACGCTTGTCTTTACAGCAATATTAAAATCAAATTCCTGAACACAGACATGTCTTAAAGTGTCCCTTTTCATAAATTTATATTCACTGTGCATTAGACTTAATGTACCCTATCAATTTGATAAGGTATATTAGCCATTATTTAATTTTTATCTTCAGTAACTTTAGGCACTGTATTTTGTTAAAGTTTAGTTTATTCAAATACATTTTAAAAGAAGATTTGGCAACAATGCCACCTCCTCTTCTCCCCTGCTTCAGAGGCTGGGAGGGTTTGTCTGGACCAGCAGGGCAAAGAAAACCCTTGGTCCCTTTAAGGATTGCTTCCTCTCATTTCCTTCTTTCTCTGCGGGCTTCAGGAGGCAGGCTCTACGGCTGATTGGTTAGGAGAGAAGGGAAACAATGTAAATCTATTGGCTACTTCACTTATAAGGGGAAGGTTTATAAGCCCTTCCCCCTGCACAGGGTGACATTCTGCACCATAAGGAAATGCTCCCCATTCCTCCAATTGGGATCAGAGGATGACTGGATGTTTGGGCCTTGCTCTGGGCATTGCACTAGTCACCTTTTGTAATCTGGGAAGAAATTTCCCCCTCATTCCCATACTGGCCTGTGCAGAGCAGGGTTTTAACCTTTCTCTCAGCAGCCCAGGGACTTGGTGGGTAGTTAGGTTGTAAAATTCAAGATGTTGCAACTTGGCAGGTGCCCAGTACAGGTACTCATTCAATAGGGGGTCTAGTTCCCTGATAAACAGGAATTGGAAGTGGATTAGAAGAAGGCATCCCCAAAAGAAGGTGGGGAATGGGGTTGGGGCTTCTAATGTCTGGTGCAGTATGGAAACTTCCCCCCTCTTACCTTAGCCCTTGTGCAAGCTCTTCTTGCAATGGTGCTGGGGCCAGGTAAATGGTGTGTGTGGAGGAGATGGGGGCTGAGCCCTCCACCAAGTGGGTACAGACTCAGAAGGTACTTGCCCCTGCACTGGACAAGTTATTACCAGCTAGTTTCCAGATGCGTCACTAATTAATAAAGCTGAAACCTAGTTAAACCACATCCCTGGTGTCTTGATTTCTTTCTCTTGTGTCCAAGAAAATGATGGCATCTGGCAAGCCCAGCATATTGTCACCAATCTTCTTTTCAGATGGTCTATGCTGCACTGCCTACCTTCATGTTCACTGACAGCTGAAAGTCCATGCAGCTCTCCCATTCAGTCAGGCACATATGCCCCTGTCCCCAAGTGTTCCTGCACCCCCATATGTCCTTTCACCCTCTCTCCACATGTATCCCTCCACCCCCACTCAGACACACACTCTCCCCTCCCCATGTGGCCCTGCATCCCGCTCCCCCATCCCTATGTGTCTCTGTGCCCCTACCTAGCCGCTCTTCTGTCCCTATGTGTCCCTGTACCCCTCCCCCTCTCCCAATGTGTCTCTGTGCCCCCACTCAGCCACCCCCATCCCTATGTAGCTCTGCACCCCCTTCCCCATCACCAAGTGGCCCTGTACCTCCCTCCTCCCTGTGGCCCTGTGCCTCCACTTCCATTCAGCCCCTGCCCCAGTCTGTCCTCCCCCACTAGTCCTTATGAGCCCCTGCCTGATCCCCCACAGCACCCCACTCTGTCTGTCTCCCCATAGCCCCTGTCTCCTGACCTAGCCTGACAGGTGTTGTGAAGAAGGCAGGTTCTTTCTTTTCCATAGCTGTCCGGGAGCTGCTGCTCCATTCTATTGTCACAGTGCGCTCTGGTGGGCCAAAGGCAGAACTGCAGAAGTTATTTTCTGCTGGGAGCTGCTGCTGTTCTTGCACCACAGTGCCCTCAGGTGGGCAAAAGGCAGAACTGCAGCAACATTTCAGCAGAAGCTTTTTTCTGTGCAAAAAAATTAAAACTATGCACAGCTCATTAATTATTCACACATGCAGTAGTGCAGAATTCCTCCAAGTGTAATGTACAATACAAAGGATGAAATTCTGACCCCAGTGAAGGCAGTGGCAAAACTTACACTAATTGAGATATTGAGGTGAACTTTTCTCTTTGCAAGACACTGGATAGCAGCCCAGAAAACACAGAGATTGAAGATTTCTCTCTTTTTGAGAAATTACTCCACCCTACACCACCAAGAAATTGTTTCTGGGGTTTCCCTCCAGAGAGAACCCTTTAAATTACAACAGCACTTTACCGCCATATGCTAATGGAATAAATCCCATTCAATTGGATTCCCATTTCCGTGCATTGTGGGCAAGTTGTAGCTGTATAGGTTAAATTTTCCCCCTCTTAATATTTATGATAATAAATGTGTTAATTTAAGAATTTAGAATGTTTTAAACAGTGGGTATTTCAAAGAACAGCTGCTTTTATCCTTCAAAGCAGTGAAACCAAGATAAAATCATGTTGTGTTGAAGTACCCGAAAGCAATTCGTGTATGCAGCCATGCAGACAAACGACTGATGTTGCAGAAAGTAAAGCAACCATACCACTGAGCCGGTGCCTACAGTCCTTATTTAGGCAAAACCACCGTCAGTTTTGCTTGAGTAAAGACTACAGGATCTAGCCCACTATCAGTACTGTGTTGTGGTGCACCTAAACACCTCAGTCACAGCTTGTTAGGCAAAAGATTTCAGCATACACTTCCTTCTGGGTTCCAAAATGTGACTATTAAAGCTGTGACTTAAAATAAGTGGACATTATCTGCCTGTGAGTGAGTGTTTTGATTTATTCACTGTGTCTTCCTGCTAGATGACAGATTTGTTTGTTGTTTCTTGTGTATGCTACCCTGGGATCTGTAATTTATAGCTCTGGTTTCTTTTAAATACTCTCATAGGAAAGCTCAGTAAAGAAATGTCCCAAAAAAGGATTATTTTTATGAACATCTTCAAGGGGAAAAACAGACTATGTATGCAGTAGTGGCTGTGACCTCTGGGGATATCTTTCTCATTGAGTGATTGCATAGCCTGAGTCTCTTATTGTTCCTGTTCTCAAACCGGAGCTGTCATTATAAGACTGAGCATATACATGGAAGAGCCTAAAGTAATAGAAGTAACACATGCATTAGGAAAATCCCTTTGAAATATGTTCCCCGATGCTTCTTTATTACATTTAACTGGACTTTCAGCATGGCTAGAATTTTCTTAAGTCACTATTAATACTGCTGCTGAAATTTTACAATCAAACCCTTAACTACATTTATTTAATACGTGCCCTATAAGCTGGGGGTCATGATTTCGCCTCTTATGTAAGGGAGCATGGTAAAGCATTACTATGTCAGGATATAGGAAAACTGAGCAAGATTGATCTCATACTTGTTCCCTTCATCCATATGCCTTGTTCATGCTTTAATTTATTTGGGAGGGGAAAAAGGAGTAGTATACCAGAATTCATAAATCAGACTGCAACAGATTTTTTAAGAAAATGCTGCTTTAGGGAAATTCACATATACCTTTGTCAAAGTGTCACTCTATTTTGTAGTAGTCTCCAACTACAAGGTAGGGGCCAGACCCCCAGTTAGAATAATGGGCATAGCTTCACTCACTACAATTAAGCTAAGTCTAATTACACCCTCAAAGGATCTGGCCCAATGTGACTACATTTTTCATCACAAGACTGAATCTCAAAGGTTTCTGCAACAGAAAAATCCGCTGTGCCTCAGGTCACCAACTAACTAAGACATGAGCAATACTGTAACTGAGCATGAGATGAACCTTTAGTCTATATAATGAGCAAAGAAATAAATGCAAAATAATTATCAAAGGAATACCTTGAACGTAAATTGCTCATTGAAGACAGGGTTAAGGGTCTTTCTGTGGACTTTTGTTTCATATTTCTTCTTCTTATCAGGCAGCAGGAAAACTTTCACATAGGGATCAGATGTTCCGCCCATATCTAAAGCAGGCAGCTCAGCTGCCTGAATAATCCCTACCAAAAGCTGAAAGGAGAGAGAGAGAGAACGGAAGACTGAAGAGACATTTAAGGAAAGATTTATGTAGTCAAAAAATGGAGATTTTTCTGTCATTACTACTCTTTCTTTTTCTTTTTTGCTTGTTGCTCGGCTTTAAAAGAAAAAAGCAAACAAAAACATCTACCATCCTTTCAAGAGCCTCTGCACACAAGGCAAATGGAGCAAAGCTATAGATTGCACAAAACCAATTATGGAAGAAGGAGACTCCAGGCAGTGTGTTTTTAAGCAGGAAAGAAGCTTTTTAAAGAGCAGCTGATTACAGTTAAATATGAAATTCATTTTTTTTTAAACTGCAATCAAATAGGTTCCCAATTGCTATAGTTGCTTGTATGTTCGTTTTCTGTGCAGGGCACTGTGCAATTTTGACTATGAAATTTGTATTCCAAAACCATCCCCAAACTACGTAAAAAAAGAAACAAGAAAGTTAAATGCAAATCTTTGGTATGGGATAAAATTTTCATAGAAACAAGTGAGTCTTGCAATCTTCACATTTCACATTTATTTCTCTATGCAGACATGGGTCTTAGGCACTAAACAGTAACATTCTTAAAGGCATATAAGTGACTACAAGTCAATGAGGTTTAGGCTCTAACTGTCTAAATCACTTCTGAAAATAGATTTAGATGGCAAAGGCACTTTGGCTCAGATTTTTGAAGGTATTTAGGCATTTCTGCACGCAATACTGCAATACCTAACTGATTTAGGAGCTTACCTCTCATTTTAAAATGAATTCAAGCATTTATGGGCCTAAACCCCTTTTCAAAATGTGACAGGTTCCTAAATCAATTAGGCATTACTACACTGAGCACAGCAATGCCTATATACCTTTAAAAACCTGGGCCCTAGGCACTTTTGGTAATTTTACCCACAGTATCCATTTTTTTCCAGTCACAGAAGGATGGATGTCCTGCTCTAAAGCGGACAATGATTATTATTTGTATTACAGTAGCCCCTAGAGAACCAGCTGAGATCAGGGCCCTACTCTGCTAAACGCTGTACATATGGTTAGTAAAAGACACTCCCTGCATTGAAGCTCTTACAAGCTGAATAGACAACATATACAAAGGGTTAGAGAAAGGCAGTATTAGCAAACTCATTTTACAGGCAGGGAATTGAAACAGAGTGTCCTTGTGGCCCAGATTTTTAAAGGGGCATTTAGCCATCTTTGTACACTGCATTGCAATGCTTAACTGATTTTAGGAGCCTAAATCTCACTTTCAAAAGGGGATTTAGGCACACAGGAGCCAAAATCCCATGAACTCAGAGTGCCTAAATCCTTTTTTGAAAATGAGATTTAGGCTCCTAGATTAGTTAGACATTGCAACACTGTGTGCAGCAATACCTAAATACCTTAAAACTCTGGGCCCAGGTGACTTGTCCAAGGTCACACAGGAAATGTGAGGCAAAGCTGGGACACACAAGCAGATCCTTCTAAGACACAATCCAGTGCCTTTACCACAAGACATTTTTTGTTCTCATAGACCAGTTGTTTGAAAATTAGAAATAGGAGCTCAAGCAATTGGAACAACTAAATTCTCACCTGGGAAAGTAATTGTATTCTCATAGATTCTTAAAAGTGGGATTTATTTTTGCCTATTTTAAATTCAAAATGTGTCATATGTGCTTTCCTACCTTCTTAAGCTCCATGAAGCATTTTTCCTTTACCTCTACTCGGCACTTTTCCTTTTCTCTTTCATTGCTATTCTACATGCATAATAGTTCATGAATACATGGACGGGCTCAGGATCTACCTCAAATCTTTCACATCAAAGAGTGAAAAATGAGCCTATGACAGTTAACAGAGTGGAAAAGGAATTCACTTCCATTTTAAAAGCTTGCGCTCTAAAACGGAAACATCATGCTTGAGAGAGTATTTTGGTCAGCTTCTCCCCATTTTTAACCCAGCTGAACACACCAAATGGTAATTGGGTTTCCAGCTCCATGCAGCTGTGCTGCACCATCACACCACTAACATCCAATCCCAAGGAAGTACCAGAGCTCAGAAGGGAAATTTAATCTTAGAGTTAGGGCAGCAGAATAAAATAGGAACCCACAACACCATACAATTTCGCACCTTAATTAAACACGGCACACTATCAAAGATGTGGTGTGGGGAAAAGGAATAAATGGTTTTCATCACATTCTATTTTGTTTTTGGAAAATTTAGTTCTCAACCTCAATGTGGCATTTCCTTAATAAAATTCACAAAGAAAGTTTATTTTCATCTCCTATGGGATCTCAGATCTATTTATCACAAAAGATTTGCAGCTTTTCTTTTCTTTTTTCTCCCTTAGATCTTCTACCCTTTGAAGATTCTAAAGTTTCCTACGGATTTCAAGTGATGAAGACAGGCCAGGTAAAGGACTATAGGGCAGAGAATTCTTACTACAGTGTTTTCTTGGGGAGTTGAGGAAAAAATTCCTTCATCCATAGGCTCTAGAAAGATTTCAGAATTCTTTTTGCCTCTTGCTTTGAAAAGCAGAAGCAGTGACAGTTAGAAGTTAGTTTAAATGATTTGGAGAGTATAGTGCCAGGACATAGCCTTATGCAATGTCCTCCTGTAGATACAGGGAATTTATTTAATTTCTGCCTATACTCCCCCTTCGCCCCCTGAAACAAACATGTTATGCCAAGAAGAGCATTTATGTTAGTGGAAATAGATTGCAAACTACATATGGAAGTTAGTTTAGATGAAGAAATTTACAGGAATTTCAGTCAATATTCATTTCTTTCCCTAAATAGAGAACAATTTTTTGTTCTGGCTAAAAGCCTTAAAGACAACAAACCTTTGATTTGATTTCTCAAATGAAAAGTTCACCCAAAGACAATAACTTGGAGAAGAAACATTCTTTGGAGTTTTCTGTCCCAAATAAATGAAATAGTCCATTCAATGTGAGTGCGTGCTTGTGCATGAGCATGCAAATTGTGGAGACTGAAGAAGGCAGATCCCAAACAAGGAAGCTTTGCACTCCATGCCTGGCAAGAAGCCAAGCAGAGCGGAGGAACGTGGGCAAGCTCAGGGAGTGGTAAAGACATGAGAAGCAGGTCCGTACAAAACAGATCCACGCCCCTGAAATTTTTATGGCCGCTATTCCTGTTCACAGTCTGGAGAAGCAGCCAAACCTCAACTGCATCAGTTTCCAGCCTCCAAATTTCAGGTGGTGGTATTAGTGGAGGTAGGAGATTTTTTTCTACCCAACTCCCTGCAGAGTTCTTAAGGGCAGAGCTCTTTTATTTGGACTTCACTGACAGACTAAGAACTGATTCGCAGGCTGTACATTTCTGCTCAACCCAACAGAACTAGATAAGAGAGCCTGGAATTCTAATTAATTAGAGAGACAGCATGGGCCAATGTATAGACCATTAGACTGGCGGTCAGGAGATTATCCCTCACTGTACTATTGACCTGCTGTGAGACTTTGGATGAGTCACTGCGCCTCTCTGGGCCTCCATTTTCCCTCCCACACTTTGTCTGTCTTATCTGTTTAGATTATAAACTCCTTAGGGGAATGACTGTTTCTTACAAAGCGTTCATAGGCTGCCTAGCACAATGGAGCCCAATCTTAGTTGGAGCTTGTAGGTGATACTGTAATACAAATAGTTAATAAATAATAAATAATCATCATCATCATTAGAAAAAACTTTGGCATAAAGTTTGATTAGAAATGCAGTGTACCCTTAACATGTATTAAACACAAATGGAGAAGGAATTGTTTCATAAAGCTTCAGGCTTGCTTTCTAATTTTCTTCAATGCAAGCTAGAATGCCAAGTATCTACTCTGCACGCCTGTATTTTTGCAGTCTCCTTTCACGTGCACAGCAATGTATCACTGGTTGTTTGTTCCACACCTGATTGTTCTGGAAGTCATAATCCAAAGAGTATTGGATTTTCCCTAATTTTTCCTCTTCTTTGGGTTCTTCTTTATCTTCCCCGTCAGTCAGTCCAGTCTCAGCATCATCATCCTTAAGGGCCTGCAAAGAAGAAAAGAAACAATAATAAATATGACTAGCTTCTTAACACTAACCTAAAATAGATACTCTGTCCTCAAATCTATTGTAAAGCCATTAAAGCAAGCATGATGGCACAAATCCATATATGCTGTTTACATATATTTATAGTATTCAAGTTGCGCAAGAAAACTTTTTTTAAATCAGCAAGCAGCAGGGAAGCAATGGAAGTAGGAAGAAAGCTTCTTGGGACATGGCCAGCAAGAACTGTTACAAAGTCTGAAAACAGAAAGCAAATGTCAACTTGATATTTTAAAAAGTCTGCTCTAATCCAGTTGCCTCTTAAAGAGGCCAAATGTGGACAAACATGCTATTAAGTAGGCAAAGTCACATTCATTCCTCTTAAAGAGATCTCAGCAATGTCAAATCTAGCTGTGCATGCTGTGAATTATTTGCAATAGAGCCACGTGTTTCTGTAGGATTACAGCTGGTAAAAAGAGAGTATTGTGGGTGAGTTCTTCCTACATTTGACAGGTTGTTATTTAGGATGAATATGAAAGCAAAAGGTATCACCATGCTACTAGCAAATGCATGTTCATAGAAAAGGCCACCACACTAGTCCCATTGTCCTTTTATTCATTCTTTATACAAAGCTAGGCTGAACCAAACTGATTTACAGATGCACTGATTTTAGTAAAGTTAGAGAGAAATATAAATTTTGTCTATTATATAAAACAGCATTCTTCTTTTTAAGATGCAGCAGCTATCTTAGATGCTACACAAGAGAAAAATACAATTTGAAAACATCCTTTTGTGCTGTACCAGAAAGCAGAAGTATTCTTGTTGCAAAGGAATATATACAATTATGAAAACATATTAAAAGTACCCCATCTTGCAAACTTTTGCCTGAGGGAGAACTAAATGATGGGGCTCAGGGTAATGAGCCAAATATTAAAATAAAATGATTAATATTTCCTCATAAGCATGAAAATAATATCAAGATCACAAAGGCAAAGAATTAAACACTGAATACTTACCTGGAATTGATATGAGAAAACTGCATTCATCATAGATTTACACTCTTGCATGTACCTTTTAGGGAGTGCTTGAAAAGCTTCTGAAATTTCTATAGCTTCCCAAAAGCCAGTGATTGCGGTGAAGACAATATACACTGATCTTACTTCTATTGAAGAGAACGGGAGTTTAGTTTTTTACTTTGATGTGAAGAAGATTGGGCCCTTGTATCCCAATGCCCCTCATTATTGAAAGTCCTAAATGCTTTAGCTCAGAAAGTCAAATAGTAAGGACCTGTTCCAACTACCCTTGTTTTTGTTATTAATAACCTCCTTACTGAATATATAGGATATTTGCCAGCACTTGAACTTTAGAAGAGGGACTTGTGGGAAGAAAAAATAGGATTGTACCTTTCAACCCCTTTAAAATACTGGACTAAGATTTCTGGAAGGTAAAATGCTAAATATTTTGCTAAAAATCAGAGATTGTTCTTTTTACCTAGGGATAATTGGCATGTTTGCACCATTAGATTGTATGGATATACAGTGTTATATATGCCAATTTTATCAGCATGAAAGTGGCATTCAATATAAAGCACTGATTATTTTCAAAAGGGCTCATATTACTCATTTTTAATAAAACACAGAGAGTACAGGACAGTGAGAGAACCACTTGCTTGTTTTTGTTTTTCCTGTCATGCCATCAGATGTTTAGAATGAATCGACATTATTTGTAAAGACACAGATGTCAGGTGAGTGTATATACTTGAGATCCAGGTACAACGAAGGTGACAAAGGCTATACCTACAGTTGGCACTGGTTGCCAAAGAAATATTGGCTGCAAAAGCCAGACCACTCATGTCACATTCATGCCTTGACACCCTGTCTCACATATTGGTGCTTACTTGATGAAATCTCTAGGAGCAGAAGCCCATGCGCTGGGTCACAATGTCACTTAAATTTAGCCCAGCCGCCGCTCTGTCATGGGAGCTGGAGGGGGGCTCCACCATTATGCCATCCACAGCCCCCTCATTGGCGGAGGAGTGCCCTGCCTCCACGCACTTCTGGAATGTGTGTGTGGGGGGGGGTGCTGGCCAGAGACAGATTGTTTGGGAGTGAGAACCAATCAGCCAGTGGGCAGACAGGAACTGAAGCTGAGTGGCGTAGAGGGGAGTCATTGATGGGAAAGTAGAGCTGAATGATATTAGGCAGCTTTACTAAAAGACTGTCCCTCTCAGCAACCTCACTCAGTCTTTTTGTTTTTTTCTGGAGTTGTGATCGGGAGACTGTGTGACATCACACCAGTTCTCACAAAAACTCATGCATTACAACTTTGCCAACTTGAGTTCTCTGCAAAAGCATCAACCTTCTTAGTCAGTTGTAAAGAGAGCAGGCACTTAGCAACAGTGATTCGAATAGGAATACTGAAGCAGAAACATTCATTTGTCAAGGATCACTTGTAAACTAAAGGTCAGATTCAGAATTGTAAAGTACTATAATAAACTTTTGTAATCTGATGCTAATGGGCTAGATCCTCAGCTTGTGTAAATCAGCATACTTTCTTCACTGAAGTCAATGAAGTAACATCAGTTTATGCAAGATGAGGATCTGGTCCAGATATTACAGATACCAATTCTATTAGTGAATGATGGATGCCGATTAATGATTTGAGCTCTCTTAGTCAGAATATAAATTACTGTATATTTTAACAGGGGAAAAAACGTTAAAAATGGATCAAAATCTCCTATGAAGTCAAGTCAGTAAACCTGAAAGAGAGAGATGGTGGAATATTTTTCTAATGAAAAATATTTCATTTTGGCTGTGCTAAACCTATTTAAAATGTGAGTAACATTTACATTTCTTAATCCCTGAGCTGCTGGTCTCTACTGAAGCTCCTTTGCTATGGCTGAATGGCAATCTTTTAAGTGCTGGCAAAGATGGCACTGCAAAAATGATCTGCCTGGTAACAAAGGATAGCATCAGAGCAGGGCCAGATTAAGGCCCATGTCTTGGGCCCCAGTTTTTGGAGTCATCATGTGATTACATCAGAATCTCCATTCTCATTTTAAAAAATAAAAGTAAATTTCTAGGCCCCTCAGTTGTGAAGAAGAATTTGAGGCTGCGACCATGTGTAACTGACACAGAGACATGTGACTGAGTCTGCAGACTGCCAGGAATAATAGCTCTGAGAGGGGCAAACTGTGTGTTAACACCATGATGCACTGCTCTGAGGAGCCTTGTTAACATCACCCCAGCAGAGGACTCTGTGGCAGGAGAATTAAACAGGTCCAGCATATTCATCCAGATATATCCTAGCTGCTGGGGTGAGCACTGCCCATCCTCTGTATCGGGGGGGGGGGGGGGGAAACGGGCAGAGGAAGAGGAGATCCCCCTGTTGCTGTCCCTGCCTCTCTTGAAGGCAAGGGCATCCTTGCTGCCATTTCTTGGGGGGGAAAAGAGGCCAAATACTGTGGCCTTTGTCTTTCAGGGAGTGGAGAGAAGACCTCTCTGACTATATTTTTAATGATGTTAGCCATCTACTGACTCATTGAGAAGTGGTCAGTGAGAATAGGTTTCTATAATCTAGGATACTGCCTGCAGAGAACAAGAGTTACATGCAAGTAATTTGTTTTCTCTAGGGAAGAAAAAATATCCTACACAGATGCCAGAGCTACAGAGATCTCACTATCAAACAAATCTTAAAACAAACAAATAAAACAAAACAGGGAACACAGGAAGTTATAACAGTGGTGGATTTGTTGCACAATGCTAAGTGCACACAGACCCCAGTGAATTATTAGAATCCCTTCCACATGCATTATAGAAGGCATTTGGAAGGTGGCTGTTGGGTAGAAGAGAAAGAAAAGGTACCATATGACTTGTCTCTATCAAGGAGCCAGATCGTTCTTTCTGACCTTGGACCAGAAATACAGGAGACTTATCAAACTTTGAGAATAGGATCAAGTGTGTTGATTTTACCAAGGTCAGGAGACGAGGAGGGACTTGGTTGTTACCATAGCAAGCTGCGTACAATAATTTTTATCTTTAAGGAAGGAATTTGCTTTCAAAGCAAAGGCTGGTACTTTAATAGAATCTGGGTCAAAAGAAGTTGGCACAGAAGTTTCTCGTGTGATGCATCTACTCTGTTCCAAAGAGGAAGACGCACTGGATTGTGTCAAAGTAGTTGAAGCACCACCTAGGGATTTTTATTTTATGTTGAGGTTCTTTGGATAGGGGATATTTAAAGGAAATGTACTGTGACCCTCAGGTTTTTTTGGTCTTTTTTTTTTCAGCTGATCATAGTGTTTTAGTTTTTAGGTCCAATATTTCGTGATCTCGCATGCCTGTAAGCTATTTTGGGTTTTTTTAGTACTATTAAAAAGTTTATAATTATAATTTCTCTTCCTCTTCAAGCCTGTACAGTTGATTTCATGGTACTCAGGTAGCACTGGTTTACAGGGAGAGGGATGTGAAAAGTTTCTCTAATAATTTTTTAAAGGCCATTAAATATTTTAAAATTTGTTTTTCTGTAAAATATCCAGCATAAAAAGAATACATCATGGAGTGGTTGTGGAGATAGGTTTTATGTGCACTAATTTGGGATGACTTCGTAATTCACTCATGAGATTTCACCATTTCTGAGTAATATATACAAAAAACAATGAAATCATGATACCATATCATCATATGTATGTGTGTTTTGTGTATATACATATATGTAAACATGCAGAGCAGTGCAAAAAAACTCCTGTGTTAGTGAAACATAAAGGTGAAAGGTTGCACACTCATGTCACAAAAAGTCAGGAAAGTTAAGGTTCCAGCTACAACATAACTCAGCCACACTATATATCTTGTATGTTTTACGGTACTTTGATGATTATAAAGATTGTTGACGAATGTATTATTTGATCCATATTTGAATGACCATTGTAACTAGTTCTAGCCAATGGTTCAGACATCAATTAACATATGACACTCTGATTTCCCTTTCTGTGCCATGTTTTAGTTAAC